GAAGCCAGAATCCTGCTGACCCCACGATCCCACGTTTCTTGGAATGGGGAGAGGGAGTCACTCCTGTTGATGTCAACTCTAGGAAGGGTGACCTGAGTCAGGATTCACCATTCCTTTCATATTAGAAATAATTTACCTTTTTAAAAACAATATATTTTTTTTTTTTTTTTTTTGGTAGAGACGGTGTCTCCCTACGTTGCCCAGGCTGCTGTTTTTTGTTTCGTTAATTTTTTTTTTTTTTTTTTTGAAATGGAGTCTCACTCTGTCACCCAGGCTGGAGTGCAGTGGCCAGATCTCAGCTCACTGCAAGCTCCACCTCCCAGGTTCATGCCATTCTCCTGCCTCAGCCTCCCGAGTAGCTGGGACTACAGACGCCCGCCACCACGCCCGGCTAGTTTTTTGTATTTTTAGTAGAGATGGGGTTTCACCGTGTTAGCCAGGATGGCTCATCTCCTGACCTTGTGATCTGCCCCCCTCAGCCTCCCAAAGTGCTGGGATTACAGGCATGAGCCACCGTGCCCAGTCCCCAGGCTGCTTTTGAACTTCTTGGCTCAAGTGATCCTTCTGCCTCATCCTTCCGAAGTGTTGGGATTACAGGTGTGAGCCACTGCGCCCAACCAAAAAAGAAATTTTTTTTTTTCCTTGAGTCAGAGTCTTGCTCTGTTGCCCAGGCTGGAGAGCAAGGGCACAATCTCAGCTCACTGCAACCTCCCCCTCCCGGGTTCAAGTGATTCTCCTGCCTCAGCCTCCTGAGTAGCTGGTATTACAAGTGCGTGCCACCACGCCCGGCTAATTCTTGTATTTTTAGTAGAGACGGGATTTTACCATGTCGGTCAGGCTGGTCTTGAACTCCTGACCTCAAATGATCCGCCTGCCTTGGCTTCCCAAAGTGTTGAGATTACAGGTGTGAGCCACCACACCCGGCCTAAAAATAAATCTTAAGGCTCTGTATGGGACCTGGAATTCTGCTCCAAGACCCCATGCAAGTGGAGGTGAGGAGGCAAGTGGAGTTCTCTCCTCTGCCCAGGGATTCTTCTCCATGATTTTACTTTCCTGTGACTTCCTGGAGAGCTGGGACAGTGACCTGAAAGGACACAGTTCCCCTTGGATCTGGTCACTGGGCCTCTGACCCTGCAACCCCTGGGGCTTTCTGGGGAAGGTTCTCTGTCTGCCACCAGACCAAGTGCTGGACCCTGCGTGTGTAGGTCAAAGGTCAGGGGTAGGCTTCTCCACTGCAGGGGTCTGACCTATCAGACAGCCCTCCGAGGCAGGGACGAATAACTTGCAGTGGGTGAGAGTTAGGGCTTTGCCATAAGCATATGGAGATGGAGGTGAGGCTAATTCTCACTGGGACATGGTGGATAGAATAATGGCCCCGTGAAGATGTTTACACAGCAAAAGGGATTTTGCAGCCATGATTCAATTAAAGACCTTGAGATGAGATTACCCAAGTGGTCCTAATGTAATGCCAAGGGTCCTTATAAGCTAGGGGCAGGAGGATCAGAAAGAGAGAGGGAGAGAAAGAAAGAGACAGATGAGAAAGAGACACACGCACATATAGAAACAGGGTCAAAGAGAGACAGAGACAGAAAGGAATAGAGACCGGAAGATGTCATGTTCTGCTGGCTTTGAAGAGGGAGGATGGGGCCAAGAGCCAAGGAATGCAGGTGGCCTTTAGAAGCTGGAAAGTTCAAGGAAACAGATTCTCCCTTAAAGCTTCCAGAAGGGACAAGCCCAGCTGACACATTGCTTCCAGCACTTCTGGACTCCAGAACTGTACGTTAATACATTTATGTTGTTTTAAGCATTGATTTGTGACTGTGTGCTACAGCAGCCTCAAGAACCTCACAGGGGCCACCCGTGGTCTTGCCTGCCCTGCTGGGTATTGGTTCCTCTTCTCCTGGTGACAGCTCCTGGACCTTCTTTTGGGAAACTCCACTCCCTACTCTCAGTCCTGGGTTTGGGTAGAGCTGGCCCATCATGCCCCGGCTCCTTGGTGCATGTGACAGAAAATTAATCAGAAGAGGGCATCTCCCTGGTCACAGTGCAGGCGGCCTTGAGTTGACAGGGCTCTGTTTGGGGCCATTTACAGACACCGTGGGGAAGAGAAAATCACTCCTCCCTCAGAGGTGGCTGAGGATCAGTGTAAGCCCAGAGGGGCTGGCAGCTGCCTTGGCACTGTGGTGGGAGAGCCCACCTCTAGATAGACCCCATGCAGGAAAACCAGGGACCCTGAGCCGAGAGAGATGACAGGGTGGGTGCTCCCTGGTCACCCTAGTCAAGCTTCAATCAAACTGATCTTGAGCTTTTCTGATACACAAAACACTAACGCTCCTGTTTTGCTTAACCCCGTTTGAGGTGGGATTCTGTTACTTGCAATCCCCAAAGCCCTACCCGAATGTCACTTCCATCCATTCCTATTCTCAGGTGGGAGAGAGGGTGGAGTTCCGGCCACTGTGTGGGACCCTCAGCCCACCTTTATGTCAGTTACTGCCATTTACTGTTTGTTGGGGGTAATTATGAATTATTGTACTGCTCTCTGAACAATTTTATTTTGGGAACGTCCATTAAAATCGGAGTGTGCTTCTTGTGTGAATGTCTTCCATCTGTTATGTCTACGGCATGGGAAAAAATGGAGAACTGCAATTTTGGAGGCCAGAGAGTCGTTGGACACGTTTAGCCTTTTCCTGGCAATTTGTAATCAGGAAACGTGTGCAGAACTCAGTTCCTGGCACTCAGTGGGAGCCACTGGAGCTGGCGATCACGAAACCAGTTGGGGGTGTGTTCGCTGCTCTCCGGGACCCTGGCAGGGGGTGGTTGAGGGGCTCGGAGTTTGCTATTTAGTAGAGGAGCTAGCAAAAGATGATTGAAACAAAACTGTTGCAACTCTCTTCACTTTGCCCCTTCCCGGTGAACACCTACCTCGGTTCTCTCTTGGGCCAATGGAGACCCTGTTTTCTGATGTTTTGTTCCAAGATGGTCTAGAACAGCATGTGGGCATGGGAGAAGAAAGCAAGGGTGGGTCTCTGGAGAAATCTCGTGGATGCACATGTGATAACCAGCAGAGAGGAAATAGACCAAGATGCCCATGTTCTCAGCAACAGCAGCATGACAGCCAAGTTGCCAGACAAGGGGCCATCAGGGTCTCTGTGGATGCAGTAGGAACAGAAGAGCCACAGACGTCCTGTAGACATCTGGGTTGGATGTCACTGCAACAATAACTCTTCTCTTTTACCTTTCTCTTGTCCCTCCAGATCCTAGCTCTACCTTCCACCCTCTCTCTCTGTGTCCTCTCCTCTTCTTTTTTTTAAAGACAGTTTTACTCTGTCGCTCAGGCTGGAGTGCAGTGGTGCAGTCTTGGCTCACTACTCACTACAACCTCTGCCTCCCAGGTCTGAGCTATTCTCGTGCCTCAGCCTCCCAAATAGCTGGGGCTAAAGGCAGGCACCACCACGCCTGGCTAATTTTTATATTATTAGTAGAGACGGGGTTTCCCCATGTTGGCCAGGCTGATCTCCAACTGCTGACCTCAAGTGATCGACCCGCCTCGGCCTCCCAAAGTGCTCAGGCATGAGCCACTGCACCCGGCCCTCTCCTCTTCTTATAGGGACACCCGCCATTGGATTTAGGGAACCCCCTAAAACCAGGATGACTTCATCTCTAGATCCTTAACTGGTTACCTCAGCAAAGAACCTATTTTCAAGCAAGGTTCGATTCTGAGGTTCTGGGTGGGTGTGAATCTTTGAGGATATGCGTCAACCCGACGCAAGGTCTCCTTGGACTGGCAGTGTCCCTTGACTGAAGGGCACTGCTCCCCTGAGGGTGTCCCACTATGCCCGGCTTGCATTCTGGTTCAGGTAATTGCTCCCCACCATTGTCCTTTTGGGCCTAGGAGTGGAGACAGTGCTGCCATCGCCAGCCCTGGGCTCCTTCATTTGCCACTTCTCTTGTGGGGCTCCCCTAGGGCCCCACCTTGTAAGTAAGCTCTCCTAGAATTATCCTGAAGCTGCTGTCATTTCCTGCTGGGACACTGATGGGTACAGTGACTGGCATAGAGCACCAACTCCGTCTCCTTCCATCCCCACAATTACTGTCATTCCCATTTGAAATGAAGGGACAGAGGCCCCAGGAGGCCAAGGTGCTTGCCCGAGGCCTTGCAGCTAAGGTAGGGCCAAAGTTGGCCTCAAGACTCATGCTCTTGACCATGGGGCTTCAATGTCATGGGCAATGTCCTCCCTCTCAGGGTCCCAGGAAAGCCAGTTCTGCCTCTGGGCGGGATTCTTTGGGTCCTTCGGGAAGAGGGGGGCCTGACTGCGTGGTTGCTGTAGGTGAGAGAAATCCAGCTCCAACTGGCGTCAGCAAAAGAGAGAATGTATTGGCTCCTGTGCCTCAAGGTCCTGGGGGTGGCCTGGCCTGAGGCACCTCTGGATTCAGGTGTGCACGTGCCGGCCTGGAATAGGTGCAGCCCCCATCTCAATGCCTTGTCTCTGCCGGGAACTGGTTCCTTCTGCAGCAGCAGGGCTACGATGCCTCCCGGGGTCTCCAGACCCTCATCCTACCAACTCCAGTCTCAGCAGAAAGAGAGCTGCTTTCCCCACAGTGCCTGCGAAGGTCTCAGGGAAGACACTGGTGGACTGGGTCACACGCCTGAAAGGTGGTTTCCCAGAGGGCAATCGGGGTACCTCTGAGGCTTCTGGGAAGAACAGGTGCAGACTGGGCCCCAGAGCTCTAGTGTGCCAGGGAAAGAGACAGAGCTGAGGGGAAGAGGGAGAGCGGACGTGGGAGTGGGGCTTCTTCTTCCATGTCGCAGTGTCACTGTCCAAGGGGTTCACCTCGCCCGCTGCCTAGACAGAGCTGATTCATCAAGACAGGGGATTGCAATAGAGAAAGGGTAATTCACTCAGAGCCAGTTATGCTGACCCAGAGTTTTAATATTACTCAGATCAGTCTCCCTGAGCATTCAGGGAGCAGAGTTTTTAAGGATAACTTGGTGGGTGGGGGAAGCCAGTGAGTCGGGAGTGCTGATTGGCCAGAGATGAAATCACAGGGAGTCAAAGCTGTCCTCTTGCACTGAGTCAGTTCCTGGGTGGGGGCCATAAGATCAGATGAGCCAGTTTATCGATCTGGGTGGGGCCAACTGATCCATCAGGTGCGGGGTCTGCAAAATGTTTCAAGCATTGATGATTTATTTTTATTTTTATCTTTTTGAGACAGAGTCTTGCTATGTTGCCCAGGCTGGAGTGCAGTGGCAAGATCTTGGCTCACTGCAACCTCCAACTCCCAGGTTCAAGAGACTCTCCTGCCTCAGCCTCCCTAATAGCTGGGATTACAGGTGCCCACCACCACGCTGGGCTAATTTTTGTATTTTTAGTAAAGAAGAGGTTTCGCCATGCTGGCCAGGCTGGTCTTGAACTCCTGACTTCAGGTGATCCACCCACCTCAGCCTCCCAAAGTGCTGGGACTATAGGCATGAGCCACCACGCCAAGCCTCAAGCACTGATCTTCAGAGCAGTTGAGGAAGGGTCAGAATCTTGTAGACTCCAGCTACATGACTCCTAAACCATCATTTCTATTCTTGTGGCTAATGTTAATCCTACAAAGACAATCTAGTCTCCATTCTAGAAGAAGTCTGCTTTAGGAAAGGGCTGTGACCGTCTATGTTTAAACCATAAACTAAGTTTCTCCCAACGTTAGTTCAGCCTACGCCCAGGAATGAACAAGGACAGCTTGGAGGCTAGAAGCAAGATGGAGTTGGTTAAGTTAGATCTCTTGCACTTTCTCAGTCATAATTTTGCAAAGGCGGTTTCAGCAGGAGTCCTCCCAGGCTGAGGAGGGGTAAGGGGACAGTCAGAAGCTGTTTGGGGAGGGACATACAAGCACCTGGATGTTTTGTGTTGGATGGAGAAGACACAGGGTGCCACATGGGAATCGTTCCCCTGTTGAAAAAACCGAACTTTGTAAAATATTTGAAGAGATTTATTCTGAGCCAAATGTGAGGACCATGACCAAGACAAGCCCAGGAGGCCCTGAGAACATGTGCCCAAGGAGTTTGGGTGACAGCTTGGTTTTATGCATTTTAGGGAGACCTAAGGCATCAGCAACACACGTGAGGAATGCATTGGTTCAGTCCAGAAAGTTGGGACAACTTAAAGGGTGGGGGCGTGGGGCAGCGGGAGTGTGGCTTACAGGTCGTAGGTGAATTCAAAGATTTTCTGCTTGGCAATTGGTTGAAAGAGTTATATTATCTAAAAGCCTGGAATCAGTAGAAAGGAGTGTTTGGGTTAAGATAAGGGGTTGTGGAGACCAAGCTTCTTATGAAGTCTCCTGGGTAAGCACCCTTAGAGACAGTAGATGGCAAATGTTTCCTACTCAGACCCTTAAAAGGTGCAAGACTCTCAGTTCATCTCTTCAGGATTGGGAGGGCCTGGAAGGGGGTAAAAATTTAGTTATGTTAATAGAGATTCTTTACAGATGCAAATTTGCCTTCACTCAGGCTGGAGTGCAGTGGGTGATTAGGGCTCACTGCAGCCTCCACCTCCCAGGCTCAAGCCATCCTCCTACCTCAGCCTCCCCGAGCAGCTGGGACTACAGACATGCTGGGACCACCATGTTGGCTATTTATTTTATTTTTTGTTGAGACAGGATTTCACCATGCTGCCCAGGCTGGTCTCGAACTCCTGGGCTCAAGCGATCCTCTTGCCTCAGCCTCCCAAAGTGTTGAGATTACTTCCTTCTTTATCTGTTTCTTTATCTGTCATGTGATGTTATGTTGGAGTCAGGTTGAAAAGTAAGCCACGTTATATCAGGTTAACTAAAACCTATCTGATGAGATTCTACGGTTTCTAGGGTGTGACTCCTATAAACCAAAGAGTATCTGAGACAAGTCTTCATTTAGGAGGTTTCTTTTGCCAAGGTTAGGACATGCCTGTGACACAGTTTCAGGAGGTCCTGACGACGTGTGAATTATACATGGTGGTCGGGGCATAGCTTGGTTTTATACACTTCAGGGAGACACGAGACATCAGTCAATATATGTAAGATGTCCATTGGCTTGTTCTGGAAAGGTGGGACAATTCGAAGTGGGGAAGGGGCTTGCAGGTCACAGGTAGATGAACAGACAAGTGGTTGCATTATTTTGAGTTTCTGATTAGCCTTTCCAAAGGAAGCGATCAGATATGCATTGATCTCAGTGAGCAAAGGATGACTGAGTTCGGTCTGTCCTTTGTCCACAAGGAATTTCCTTGCGGACAAATTATGAGGGAGGTATGTAGTGTTTTTTTTTTTTTTTTTTTGAGGTGGAGTCTCACTCTGTCGCCCAGGCTGGAGTGCAGTGGCGCAATCTCGGCTCTCTGCAAGCTCTGCCTCTCGGGTTCACGCCATTCTCCTGCCTCAGCCTCCCGAGTAGCTGGGACTACAGGCGCCCGCCACTGCGCCGGGCTAATTTTTTGTATTTTTAGTAGAGATGGGGTTCCACCATGTTAGCCAGGATGGTCTCGATCTCCTGACCTTGTGATCCATCTGACTCGGCCTCCCAAAGTGCTGGGATTACAGGCGTGAGCCACTGCGCCCAGCCATGTAGCTTTTTTTTTTTTTTTTTTTTATCTTAGTAGCTCTTTTTTTGAGGACTAGAGTGGGAGGCAGGTTTGCCCTAAGCAGTTCCCAGCTTGACTTTTCCCTTCAGCTTAGTGATTTTGGGATCCCAAGATTTATTTTCCTTTCACACTCCCTAGGCCCCTTAGATATGAATTTGGGCAAGAGAGAAAAAAGGTCAGAGTTTAGTCCTCACCCCCGACCTGGTCCCAAGGACTTCAACACCATAAACCCTCCCCAGGGACGGATGACTCAGCTCCACCCCTGCTGGCCAAACTGCTACTTCAAAGTGTGCCCTTCCAGCCTCAGGCACTGTGGGCCCAGAGGCTCCCCACAGAGGCTCTGGAGGAGCCCTGCCTACCGTAATCAGGCTACGTGAACCTGGACCGCCCTTGAACCCTCTGGGCCTCAGCTTCTCCTGCTGTAAAAAGGGGGCCTGCTCCCCTTTCTTGAGAGGCTGTAGTGGGACTTTGGATGTGAGCAGATTACCCAGGTCTTAGGAGATATTCAGCAAGTGCCATGCCCAAATCTGAAACCCCAGCCTCTGAGCTTCCCCAGGGGTGCAGCGGAGCGGGGCACCCGTCAATTATCCTGTCTGTGGATGTCTCCCTTTTGTCTCCTCTTAGATCAGCTTGTGCCTGGCCAGCCTGGAGGCTGTCAGGGCCGCTGGTCGAATGCTGCCTTTGTCACCCTCAACATCCTCAACAAATGCTTGTTTGAGTGGCTGATGTGCGAGACGGGAGGGCTTTGTTTATTCCAGATCGTGCATTGAATAAACACGTCTTGAGCTAACACAGTGCCAGGAGGTGCGGGGCACAGAGAGGCCGAGGGGGACAAGGCGCAGCTTGGAGTCAGAGCAGTCTCTGTCTGAACTCTGGCCCTGCCTCCTGCCAGCTGTGAGTCACACTTTGGTCAAGGCTTTCCCCTTTTGTGCCTCAGTTTCCCCCTCTGTAAAAAGAGGACAGAACTGCAGTCTCATAGGAGTGCTGCCAGCATTAAATGTGGTGGAATGTTCTGGGGGGCTTTGCATGGGGCTTTCGGAGTTGGTTTACGGAATAGCCTGGAGTCTTTTGATTTTTCCTCCAGTTCCTGTCTGCCAGCTGTGCAAGGTCAAACTACTCTTCCCTATTCTTTGACTCACAGATTTTCCTATCATTTTCAATTTCTTTCTTTTTTTTTTTTTTTTTTTTGAGTCAGAGTCTCTCTCTGTCACCCAGGCTGGAGTGCAGTGGTGTAATCTCGGCTCACTGCAACCTCTGTCTCTTGGGTTCAAGAGATTCTTGTGCCTCAGCCTCCCAAGTAGCTAGGATTACAGGTGTGTGCCACCACACACAGCTAATTTTTTTTTTTTTTTTTTTTTTTTTGTATTTTTAGTAGAGACAGGATTTCCCCATGTTGGCCAGGCTGGTCTCAAACTCCTGACCTTAAGTGATCCACCTGCCTCGGCCTCCCAAAATGCTGGGATTACAGGCATGAGCCACTGTGCCCAGTCCCCATCAATTTCAAATGTAAAATGCTCAGGCCTGTGCATTGAAATGCTCTGGTCTCTTCTTCATTCTTCCCTTCTGCTTCTGATTTAGCTCCTCCTGTGTGCTGGAGAAGGGAAGGTTGGTGACAAGTCAAGAGACCTGCCGGTTTGGTCCTGCCCTGGTCCTAGTCCTTTCTAGAGGGGCCATCTTCACCTCCGTTCTTCCCTCCACTCCTGTCCCTGGGGAGAAGGGATGAGCGGCTGGTCTTCGCTTCTTTTCTTCGCCGTTCCTTGTTCTGTTACCCCCTTGCGTCTCCCAGTATTTTCTCTGATTCTCTTCCTTGCAGCTGGGACGGGGAGACACGTAGCGGGACAGGAAGTTGGGGGCGCAGCAAAGCCGGTTCCATGGCCCCCGCAGGTGAGGGGACACCTGGCCTGGTGGTCAGTCTCTGTGTCATGACGTAGGTAGAAGCTGAGGCCACAGGAGGCTCTCACTCGCTCCTCTTCCAACATCATTACTATTGAGTACTTGGGCAGAGAGGCATTTTCTTCTCGCTTTGTGCACTGTTGGTGGAAGGGGAGAGAGCGAAGGGAAGCAGAAAAGCCTCCAGTGTGTGAAGCCCCTTTCATGAAGGCCTGCAGGCACCCCACCCTCTGGAGAGCCCTGTCCTGAGCTGGGGACTGGCGGGATGGCCCCTCCCCATCACAGATCTGCTTGGCATGATTCTGGAAATTCCTTACTGAACATTTAGGTCTACAGATTCCATTTAGGCCAGGTGCAGTGGCTCACACCTGTAATCCCAGCACTTTGGGAGGCTGAGACGGGTGGATCACCTGAGGTTAGGAGTTCAAAACAAGCCTGGCTTACATGGTGAAACCTTGACTCTACTAAAAATACAAAAACTAGCCAGGTGTGGTGGCGCACCCCTGTAGTCCCAGCTACTCGGGAGGCTGAGATGGGACAATCGCTTGAACCCAAGAGGTGGAGGTTGCAGAGAGCTGAGATTGCGCCACTTCAGTCTGGGCAACAGAGCGAGACTCCGTCTCAAAATAAATAAATACATAAATAAACAAGCCATTTAGATAAAGAAGGTCAGCAGGGATCCCAACAGAAGGACGCGAGCGTCCTCCTGGCTGTTGTTGAGTCGGGGAGAGCCTCAGTGCTTCTCGGGATGTGCTGTGCTGGCATTGTCCCTCCGAGGGTCAGCCCATGGCCCCCGTTTTCCTCTGGCTTGGCTCTTGAGGGCCCCGCTCTCTGTGAATGGAGGGGCAGGGTTTGGAGAGCCTCAGGGCTGTGGAACAGGAAGTCACCGTGGTGTTATCAGTTATCGGGAAGCCTCCCCTCCAGGATGGGCCAGAGCACTGGATTAGGAGCCTGCACGGCAGGGACCTGGTCCCCCGGTCACTCGTAATGAAAACAGAAGCTCTACCCCATCTATAGGGCACATATGGTGTGCTGGGTCATATCCAGCCCACGGCCCTATTCCCCACCTTCAGCCAGTTCCATCTTACAGAATCCTCTTCGTTCTGTGTAACTCTCCTTCTTCTGCTCACCCACTGTCCCCCGTGGCTCACTGCACCCACATGAGAGGCCAAAATGAAGACTCTACAGACCCAAAGAGCAGCCAGGATTTTTGTTCCTGAGACTTGATCCGAATGGGGAAGGGAGGGAAAGTGGTGCAGGGCTGCCTTGTACAGGTATTCAGGTTGTGTACTGCAGTAGGGTATGTCACCTACCAGGCCGCCATTCTCAGTGTAGATGTAAACTAATCAATTGAGAGCATGTGGGTGAGTGTGGAGACTTGGGCCTGTGCCTATGGCCTGGAGTAGGAAGCTCCACACTGGCCTGGACACACAGGGAGATGCCAGTACACCCTGCACACCCTGGCACACCCACATAATGTGTGCAGCAGCGCCGTGGCCACTGAGCTCAGGACCCCGGCTGCCTCCGCCCATCTGCTGCCCTGAGACCTGAGCCCACCCTATCCTGGCTCCTCAAGGACAGGCATTCACTGTTCAAGGAGCAAGTGAAGGAGCAGTCAGTGAGCGAGCAACGGAGGGAGCAAGGACCATGAGAGGAGGGGCCAGCAACTGAAAATCCCTACATTTTCAGGCCTTCATTTCTTGGGCTGAGCACCTTTTGTCTTGGGTGTAATCCCAGGCAGTCCCGGGTCTGGGTCCTGCAGCCTGTCCCAGGGCAGGCCTGGGCCCAGGGAACAGTGGGTAGAGCTCTGACTTTGGAGTTCAAAGTTAAAGCCCCAAGGCCAGGTGCGGTGGCTCACGCCTGTAATCCCAGCACTTTCGGAGGCTGAAGCGGGTGGATCACTTGAGGCCAGGGGTTCGAGACCAGCCTAGGCAACATGGCAAAACCCCATCTCTACTAAAAATACAGAAAATTAGCTGGGCATGGTGGTGCGCACCTGTAGTCCCAGCTACTTGGGAGACTGAGGCAAGAGAGTCGCTTGAACCTGGGAGGCGGAGGCTGCAGTGAGCCGAGATCACGCCTCAGCACTCCAGCCTGGGCAACGGAGTGAGATTCTGCCTTAAAAACACAAAAACAAAAACAAAGTAAAGCCCCAGATGACCGCCTGGGTATCCATTGCCCATGCAGCTTCCTCAGGCCACGTGAAGTGAGGGGCATCAAGGAGACATCGTACGGAAGCTTCACCAATGCGGTCCCAGCAGGCCACTCCAGGAGCATCTGCCTCCTCCCTCCTGCCCACAGGTGGTGCGGGTTCTGCCAGGCTCCCCCGGGCATGGGGTGCGGGGCAGAGCCAGACAGGGAGACTGGGTGAGCTCTGGCACAGCCAGCCTGCAGGGAATGTGCCGGCCCCTCCCAGACTCTGGCAAGAGACTGGAATACAAAGCTATTTTTATTTATGATAGTGTCAGTGGGCTGGTCTCCGTCTAGACAGCTGGTGTTATCATTCGAGGCCATCCTGGAATGCGCAGCCCCATTTATTGAGAACAGAGGACAGTGTGCAGATTAAACAGCTCGTAAAAATACGCTGGGAACCGACACTGGGCCAGGAAGACCAAGGTAACCTTGGCTAGGTCAATTGTCCTCATTCGTTTTGGACACGGGAATGTTTTCAGAGAAAACAAGGAGAGCTGTGGCCCTGGGAAAGCCAGCACAGTCCTGCTGGTCACAGTCCTGCTGGTGCCCCCTCCACAGAGACACACATGGGAGAGGAGGAGGAGGGTGGGACGGAGGGGCCACCTTGCCTGGGACAGGCCATCCAGAACAGCTTAGCCTCGATGGGAAGCTCCGTCTCCACTGGCCTGGAAGCCAGGACGAGCAGCTGCCGCCCTCTCCCTGGGCTCCTGCCCTTGGCACAGGGGCCATTCCTGGCTACCCCAGTGATCTGGGCTCCATGGGGGAGCTGGACCCTGGGGATTGATCAAGGAGTCCCATGTCCTAGTCAACTTACTACTTCGTTCATTTATCCATCCACTTGCTCATTTTTTGGCCCAGTGAATTACAAATGTGTACTGAGTGCTTACTTACAAGGCGCCAGGCAGAGGCTTCCAGACAGACATGGGGAAGAGGGACATGAAAACACAGACTGGCCTGGTGTGGTGGCTCACACCTGTGACCCCAGCCCTTTGGGAGGCTGAGCGGGAGGATCGCTTGAGCCTGGGAGGCAGAGGCTGCAAGGCTGCAGTGAGCCACAGTTGTACCACTGCACTCCAGCCTGGGGACAGAGTGAGACCCTGTCTTAAAAAAAAAAAAAAAAAAGGCGGGAGAGTCCCAGTGAGAAATACCAGAAATGCCCAAATCTGAGCGTCACTCTCTTAGTTCTTTTTTTTTCTTTTATCTTTATTGTTCTGGAGACAAAGCCTCACTCTGTCGCTCAGGCTGGAGTGGAGTGGTGCGATCTTGGCTCGCTGAAACCTCTGCCTCCCCAGCTCAAGTGAGCCTCAGCTTCTCGAGTAGCTGGGACTACAGGCATGCACCACCACCATGCCCAGCTAATTTTTGTATTTTTAGTAGAGATGGGGTTTCACCATGTTGCTCAGGCTGGTCTTGAGTCCCTGGGCTCAAGTGATCCTCCTGCCTTGGCCTCCCAAAGTGCTGGGATTACAGGTGTGAGCCACTGTGCCCGGCCTGATTTTTTTTTTTTTTTGAGACAGGGTCTCCCTATGTTGCCCAGGCTACACTCTCTTAGTGAAAGAGCTGCCCAGTGCCTGTGAAAGAAGGGAGGACCCCGGGGCTCAGGCTTCCTTGCTGTCAGCCTTTCCCCTTGCCAGTTCCTACCTCCCTGGTCTGCATCCCTGAGCCTGGAGATGACATTCCTCCCTCCCCGGGGCCATCTTCCCCTCCTTGGAGCCCCCGCTCCATCTGCTCTGCACAGGGTACCCTCAGTACCCCCTGGGAAATCCATCCCAGAGTCCCCCCTCGGGGAAGCTCTGGCAGCTGGCATCCCAGGCTGGGGTCCTGGAAGCCCATGGGCTGTGACGACTCTGTCTCCCTCCCTTTCCTGGAGCTCCCGGGAGGCAGGGGTTGTGGGGCTGAGCACAATGGGCTTGGTTGGGCTTGACCTGTGGCCTCGCTGTGCATTTAGCTGCCCTGAGCCCCGGTGTCTTCATCTATAAAGTGGAGATGAGCGCAGACCCTCTGCCTCAGGGTGAGGACTGCAGGGATGAGGGGCTAAAGGAGGTTAGGCAGTGCCAGCACACACAAGGGCGTCACTGATGCCAGCCACTGTGACCCTGCCTTTCCCTCCGTCGCGCTGCCTCCTACCTTCAGAGCCTGACTCCGAGGGTGACCCACGGGGAATGAGCAAAACAGTTCTCGCCTGCATGAGTAACACGACAGGAGGAGGTCGGCTGGGAAGATCCCCTCGCTGCTGGCATCCTCAGGGGACCCATTTCTCAGCTCCAAACAGAAAAGTCAATTCCTGTGAAAGAGAAGGAAGAGAAGGCAGCAATGGTGGCCTTGACCCAGCCCTTCCCAAGGGGCCAACAGCTGCAGTGAAGGCTTTTGTGTGGATACCGCCTGGGCAGCACAAAGAGGGGCCCAGACCTGGTCGGGAGACAGCGCTTCCCACAGGAACCAGCATAGCGGAAGGGAACGCTGGGCTGCAGCTCTGCCCTTCAGCAGAAAGTCACGGCGCCCCTCCGAGCCTGTGTTTCTGCTTCTGAGGAACAGTTACAGCAGCAGCTCCCCTGCAAGGTCCCGAGGCTTGCCTGGGGTGGAGTGTGCCTAGTGTCCAGGGAGCGCTGGCTGCGGTCTGAATGCCTGAGTCCTGGCTTCTCCTGAGAACAAGCAGACAGACCAGCAGCAGAGCCCATGCCGGGTGAACTCGGCAGGCATGGCGAGCCCAGCACTCAAAGACAGCCCCTCCTTTGCGCCGGGGGAGAGAGGAATGTCGTCCTTCCTGGTACCCGGTGCATGTCCTGTCCCCATCCTTACCCTGGCCCTGGCTGGAGGTGCCAGTTCATTCTGCATCGCTCTGAAGGCCGCCCGGGCTCTCAGTGTGGAGTCCTCCCTCCCGACCTGCCCTCCAGCCTCCTCCCTCGGCCTGGGCCTCCTCAGCCTTCATCTTTGATAAAGTCCAGGGTTTTTTGAGATGGAGTTTAGCTCTTGTTGCCCAGGCTAGAATGCAATAGTGCGATGTTGGCTCACTGCAGCCTCTGTCTCCCCAGTTCAAGCTATTCTCCTGTTTCAGCCTCCCAAGTAGCTGGGATTACAGGCGTCTGCCACCACGCCTGGCTAATTTTTTGTAATTTTAGTAGAGATGGGGTTTCACCATGTTGGCCAGGCTGGTCTCGAACTCCTGAGTTCAGGTGATCCACCCACCTCAGCCTCCCAAGGTGCTGGGATTACAGGCGTGAGCCACTGCACCTGGCCCAAAGCCCAGGGTTCTTTTCTGAGGTCCTCTAGAGCAAGTTTGCAGCCCTGCCTTTCTCCATTCAGCTGAGCTGTTCCTGTCCCATCCTCTTTTCTTATTTATCCAACACACTTTTTTTTTTTTTTGAGACGGAGTCTTGCTCTGTCACCGAGGCTGGAATGCAGTGGTGTGATCTCAGCTCACTGCAACCTCCACCTCCCAGGTTCAAGCAATTCTCCCACCTTAGCCTCCTGAATAGCTGGGATTACAGGTGTTTGCCACCAGGGCCAGCTAATTTTTTTTTTTTTTTTTGTATTTTTAGTAGAAACAGGGTTTTGCTATGTTGGCCAGGCTGGTCTCAAACTCCTGACCTCAAGTGATCCACCTGCCTTGGCCTCCCAATCTGCTGGGATTACAGGCATGAGCCACCGAGCCCAGCCCATGTGCATTTGTTGAACACCTACTGTGTGCCAGGATCAAGCAAGGGACCAGAGGACACAGCACCACCCCTCCCATTCCTGTGGCAGGAAAGCCCCAGGGCAGAGTTCACTCTGTCTCTAGGGTCCATACTCAGAACCCAATACACTGTCCTGCACAGAGCAAGGGTGAGTGAGCGCCGAAGGAATAAGAGCAAGACTTCTGGGTCTCAGGAAGCCCTTGACTGCCTGCAAGCTGCCTGGGATCTGCTGAGGGAGGTGGCGTAGCATAGGGTCAAGACCTCAGGGTTTGATGCCAGTGAAGCCTGGTTTTCAGTTCCAGCTGTGTGACCTTGAGCAAGCGAATGAACCTTTCTGAGCCTGTGGGGTCACAGCAGCACCTGCCATGGAGAGCTGGTAAGGGATTACATGCATTAATACATGCAAATTGCTTTTCCTAGACAGGGTGAGTTCTCAGAATTATGTTATTGGCAAGATGTGAATATTATAATCATGCCTGTTTGGGAGGGCAGGTACGGAGGCTGAGAGAGGTGAGGCCCACAAACGAGTAGCAGAACTGTAGCCCTGTCTTCCACCCGAGTCCCAGGTCTTCTACCTGGATCTCTTTTTCTGAACTTACTACCTTTGGGAGGAGCAAGCTCCAGCTCCTCCTGGGATCCTTCCCAGGAAATGAATTTAGGAGGATGGCAGTCTGGGTTTGCTTTTGGCGGTTCTGGGGCCTGGGAGGTGCTGAGTCCTGCTCTCATCCATAGCAATGCCCCATTGTACAGCATCTCCGGGCTGGCCCACCGCACACTCAGAGTGCCTGAGGGGTTGATCTCCAGGCACACAGGAGGTCTGGGATCCAGGACACTCTGGGGCTAGCCGCCCCACATGGCACGGAGTGGGCTCCAAGCAGCCACTGTGGCTACTCCCAGAAAAATGAAAAACCAAAGGGCAGGGCTCAGGGAGCCACCCAGAGAGGCCCACATTCTTCTTCTTCTTTCTTTTTTTTTTTTTCAGGCGTAGTCTTGCCCTGTCGCCCAGGCTGGAGTGCAGTGGTGCAATCTCCGCTTACTGCAACCTCTGCCTCCCGGGTTCAAGCGATTCTTCTACCTCAACCTCCTGAGTAGCTGGGATTATAGGCACACGCCACTACGCCCAGCTAATTTTTGTATTTTAGTAGAGACGGGGTTTCACCATGTTGGCCAGGCTGGTCTCGAACTCCTAACCTCAGGTGATCCACCTGCCTCAGCCTCCCAAAATGCTGGGATTACAGGTGTGAACCAACACGCCTGGTTGCTTCTTTTTTACATTTTATTTATATATTTTAAAAAGAAAAAGATTTTAATCTGTCTTGGTCAGTACGCCTCCAAGAACTCCGACTTCTTTCTTTCTTTTTTTTCTTTTTTGAGACAGGGTCTCACTGTGTTGCCCAGGCTGGAGTGCAATAGCACAAGCTTGGTTCACTGCAAGCTCCGCCTCCCAGACTCAAGCAATCCTCCTGCCTCAGCCTCCTGAGTAGCTGGGACCACAGGCGCGCACAACCACACCTGGGTAAGTTTTTGTTTTTTGGTAGAGACAGGGTTTCACCATGGTGCTCAGGCTGGCCTCGAACTCCTGAGCTCAAGCGATTTGCATGTCTCGGCCTCCCAAAGTGCAGTGATTACAGGCTTGAGCCACCGCGCCCAGCCCAGGTTCTTCCTGTGAGAGGCTGGGGCCAGCCTCTCCAGGGAAAACACTTGGGATATAGACTGCTAGTGGGTTTCACAACGGGAGCACCCAGTGGGAATTCAGAGTCAGGGCCCAGACCAGGAGCTGCCTGGAGGCAGAAGAACCTCTGAACTTAAATAGAATAAATGGCCCTGGAGACCTGAAGTTTTGGGTTTCAGGCACCTTCAAGGTGTTGCCCGTAGGAGGCAGGGAAGCTGTGAGCATAGATAGCATGTTATTACTGCTATCATCGTCACTGTATCCACCCAACACTTAAATGGCACCATGTGCCAGGCCCTGTTCTCAGTACCTTACAAAAAACCTTACCCAGCAAGGTCCCCACTTTACAGAAGAACCTAAACAAATGAACTCACTTTCCTCCCCTGGCAAACTCCTACTCATCCTTCAAAACTTTGCTAGCACATCCCTGTCCTAATTGCCTGGCAAAGTTTATTGCTCCGTCCTCTGCGTCGCTTGAGACCCCTTCTCCCGTGTTTCCTGGTCTGTGCCCCGCACTGGACTCCTTGCTCAGAATCCTGGTTTTCCGAGCCTGAATCTTATTTTTTACTTATTTATGTTTTATATATATATAATTTTGAGACGGAGTCTCACTCTGTGGCCTAGGCTGGAGTGCAGTGGTGCTATCTCAGCTCACTGCAACCTCTGCCTCCTGGGTTCAAGCGATTCTCTTGCCTCAGCCTCCCAAGTAGCTGGGATCACAGGCACACGCCACCAGGCCCGGCTAAGTTTTGTATTTTTAGGAGAGACAGGGTTTTGCCATGTTGGTCAGGCTGGTCTTGAACTCCCAGCCTCAGGTGATCCGCCCGCCTCGGCCTCCCAAAGTGCTGGGATTACAGGCATAAGCCACCGCACCTGGCCCTGAGTCTGAATCTTGATGTCCACATGTATCCAGCACGGACAAAAGGGTCATGATATATTTGCCAAATGGGACAATGGAGACTGTGGGTCTGCAGCAGCACCTGTATGCCCCACCCTGACAGGACCTCTCGGACTTGGGGGCTAGGTCCTGAAAGGGAAAGGCGCTTGCTGGCTCCTAAGTGGCCAGGATGTCCTCAAGGGCTGTCCTCCGAAGCAGTGTCTGGGCTGGGCTGCTGCCTCAGCCTCAGGGCTTCCCTCGGGGGAAATAGCATCCCCAGCTCATCCTTCCAGCAAGCTAGGGGTGGGGTTGCTTGGAAGGGCCCCCAGCATCCAGGGACAGCTGCAGGAGACCCAGAAGAAGCTGCTGAGCCAGAAGGAGGGATTTCTCCAGAAGGCGTAGACATTCCTAGAGATGCTTTTCTTTCTCTCTTTCCCATAAGCAAATTTTATTAGATTAAGACCTTGGGGCCAGGTGCAGTGGCTCACACCTGTAATCCCAGCACTTCGGGAGGCCAAGGCAGGAGGATTGCTTGAGGTCAGGAGTCTGAGACCAGCCTAGCCAACATGGCAAAACCCCATCTCTACTAATAGTACAAATACTAGCCGGGCGTGGTGGCGGGTGCCTTTAATTCCAGCTACTCAGGAGGATGAGGCACGAGAATTACTTGAACCCAGGAGGCAGAGTTTGCAGTGAGCCGAGATTGCACCACTGCACTCCAGCCTGGGTGACAGAGTGAAATGATGTCCAAAAAAAAAAAAACAACCCTTGGGGAGTGTGGGCTTTGAAACCTCCCAAGGCCTGGCCCCACACACAGACCTCATTTGATCTTCACGACGCCACAGGCTTGGCTGGAAGGTGTCATTATTCCCCATTATTCCCACTTGAAGGCAGAGGAAATTGAGGCTTCCTAAGGTGGTGACTAGTCCAGGGTCCTGGGATCAGCGGCGGCTGGTGTTCTGAGTCCAAACCCCAGACCACCTGGGTCCTGGCCTGCACTTCTGTGCACTCCTGCAGCCTTCACCCCTGCAGCAGGCCAGCCCGGGAACTTGCTAAGTTCCACCACCATTTCTGGGCTCTTGGGAGAGGGTGTCCTGCTCATGATCTCCTCTCTTCCTGATTCTCAGGATTCAGAAGCAAAAAAAGGGAGCAGGGGCTGGGTCTGGGTGGTGCAGAAAGAGTTCCTTAGGGCTGCCAAAAACACAGGCTGGAGGGGTCTGCTTTTGTCCCAAAGGGAGGCAGGGTGCTCGAGGCTGGCTGCACGCCCCCTACACCCTGCCCTGCAGCCACCGGCCCGCTGCTCAGATCGGGGCCCTCCGAGGTGTCTCCTGCGAGGGAGAGCCAAATTTGAGTGCATAAGCAGAGGATGTTTTCCTTCCCAGTGGACAAAACATTTCTGGCGCTTTCGGGAGGGGACTGAACACTCTGTCCACTTTGGCACTTGCAGGATTCCTGGACGGACACAAGTGTGTTTCACATGCAACAAGATTAATTACACAACCTCCTCCGTCCTGGGCCTCGCCCGCCCCACCTCCCGCCCCACCCACTTCCCTGGTTACCCGCCTTACTCCAGAGCAAACCTTTTGAGACGTCCATTCCAAGTGGCCTCAGGAAGTGAACACTGAGTCATGTGCCTCTTGCCACAGGTCTCCCCAGAGTGGGGAGGGGCTGAGAAACACCCTCTAACTCCAAGTGAGCTCCCGTAGTCTCGCTCGGAGAAATCCCACCGGCCCTGACAGGGTGGGTCTGGCCTGGACACAGTGGCCTCCATCCACAGGTTGGTTCCACTGGTGCCTGCCTGGAGCTTCCCTGGTTCACTGGGATTTCCAGAGGATTGGGATCCATCCAGAAGTCCCTAGTTGAACTGGGGTCCCAGCCCTGGTCCCCTGTGACCTTCCATGGTCCAGTTAAAGAGGCTGGCATTGGCCAAAGTGAAATGAGTGGGAGGGACTGGGATGGAAGAACAGGACCTGCCAGTCCGTGCCACACCTCCCAGGCCATGCTCAAGGGGTTGGGGACAGTCTTGCTGTGGAAGATCTATCTGCTCCAAGGGGTGCCTCATTGAAAGCTGTTTGTGAAATTTCTGCCTCTCCCAGAGGATCCTGCAGTGAGCTCAGACAGAACATTCCAGAGCATTCTTAGGGTGCCTGAAGGATGTACCGAAATCGGGGTCCCAACACCGCCCCAGGAAGGTGGGATGCTTCAGAAACCAGGCACCCACCCCCAGTGCACTCGAGGCAGAACAGACTCGGGCTGAACAGGAGGGATCAGGCTGCTGAGCAAAGGCCTGTGGGCCAGTGCCAGGACCCTGAACCCGCCGGGGCAAGCTGAACTCTGGCGGGAGGCAGGCTGCTAACCAGTAAGCAAGTTGTAAAAACCCATTTCAGACACAACATCTGGCAGCTGCTTCAAATAGTTCTCTGTCTGAAGTTGGAGTCACTCGCAGCCCTCCTGTAAATCAAACCATGTGCACAGAGGAGCCCTGTGCCGATCCAAGGCACCCTGGCTTGGCTGGGCCCCCGCCGAGCCCCCAGTCTCCCTGGCTCTTTAAATAGCCTGGGGCTCACATTCCATTTCCTTGTACGATGAATTCAGAGCAAGCCTGGCTGCAGAAGCTGTAGGGATGCAAGCTTCATCTGTCTATCTCAGTGAAAGACGGGGGGAGGCGATGCTTGGCACTTGGGGCATGATGTCTTGAGCTTAGCCCCTATTTCCAGTGACTCCTGGGCAATGCCCACTCTTCGCAGGGCCCAGAACCCACTCATTGTAGCCTGTCAAGGAGAGATCAAGAGAAGAGTCCAAGTCCTCTGTCGAACAAGTTTCTGGTCTGAGCCTGGTCCTGTGGCTTCTAAGCAGGCCCTTGGTACTCATCTCTTAGAACATCAACCAATTAATTCTAGAGCAAATCTGGTCTCAGGAGACTGGCTGCAAGAGGCCAGGGCAGGAGGCAGATGGCATGTCGCGAATAAGGATGGGAGTCATTGGCTGTTGGGCAGCACCCACCATCGGCCTGATGCTGGGCTCTTTTCTACCTGCATGGTTTCATCGGTCTTCATGGCCACTCCAGGAGTGGATACTATTATGCACTCTGCTCTGAAGGTGTGTGTGGAGGGATGCATGGTGGCTCCCCAAGTCAGTGGCGTGAGGTTAAGAAGAATTTACTGGGGCAGGGTGTGGTGGCTCACGCCTGTAATCCCAGCACTTTGGGAGGCCGAGGCGAGCGGATCACGAGGTCAGGAGATCGAGACCATCCTGGCTAACACGGTGAAACCCCGTCTCTACTAAAAAATACAAAAAATTAGCCGGGCGTGGTGGTGGCACCTGTAGTCCCAGCTACTTGGGAGGCTGAGGCAGAAGAATGGTGTGAACCTGGGGGGCGGAGCTTGCAGTGAGCCGAGATAGCACCGCTGCAGTCCAGCCTGGGCGAAAAAGTGAGACTCTGCCTCAAAAAAAAAAAAAAAAAAGAATTTATCAAGACAATTGTAGGTAAAGAAAGGCAAATTTATTAGAGAAAATATGGCAATATGTTGCAAGGGTGCAATGGGCAGATCAGCAAGAAAGGAGCTGATTGCAATGAGAGAAAGGTTTGCTGGGATTTTACAGGATGGTGCTTGTGCCATGTGCTGAAGACGGCTTTGTGTAGTACTTAAATGCCAAGGTTGCGGTGAGCTAACCTGTATTTTCCTATCAGTTGAGGGTCTGGGGATAGCTGGGCCCAGGAAGATTGAGAGTTATTTGCGCAGGAGGGCGCTGTGTCCTGGACCATGAAGAAAGACAGATTTGCAGCTTATCTGCTTTATCATTTTGCTTCCCCTTGGTCCCGCCAGCCTGACTCCTTTTCCCTAATTAGGACCCCACAGGTATGTCTTGTCCTAATCCTGAAAACTGTGAAGGTGACCTTATTTGGAGAAAGGGTTTTAGCAGATATCATTGATTTAAGGATCTTGAGATGAGATCATCCCAGATTATCTGGGTGGGCCCTAAATCCAGTGACAAGTGTTCTTACAAGACAGACAGAGGCACAGAGGGGAGGAGGCCATGAGAAGATAGAGGCAGAGATTGGAGCTATGCAGCCACAAGCCACAGGCCATACAGTCTAAAGCTGCCAGAAACTGGAAGAGACCAGAACGGATCTTCTTTTTTCTTTTTTAATCACGTTTATTATTATTATTTTGAGACACAATCTCACTCTGTTGCCCAGGCTGAGGTGCACTGGCACAATCTCAGCTCACTGAAACCTCTGCCTCCCAGGTTCAAGTGATTCTTGTGCATCAGCCTCCCGAGTGGCTGGGATTACACCAGTGTGTGTGCACACACCACCACACCCAGCTAATTTTTTGTATTTTTAGTTAAGTTTTTGTATTTTTAATAGAGACGAGGTTTTGCCATGTTGGCCAGGCTGGTCTCGAGCTCCCGGTCTCAAGTGGTCCACCCAGCTCGGCCTCCCAAAGTGCTGGGATTACAGATGTGAGCCACTGCGCCCGGCCATAGGCCGGATCTTCTGCTAGAACTTCTGGAGGGAGTGCAGCCCTGCCCACACCTTGATTTTGGACTTCTGGCCTCCATAGTGGGGAGAGAATAAATGTGCATTGTTTTAAGTCACCCAGTGTGTGGTACTTGGTTATAGCAGCCCCAGGAAATGAATAGAGTTTGGAAACTAGGGATCAGAGGAGCCGCACGAGGCCACAGAGCTCTTAACCCCCCAACTCTGCTAGCCCTGGTGACCAGACTGGTTTTTAGAAAACCGGATCTGATAAACTGAGGCCCCTGGGCCCAGGCGATTTCCCTGCAAGGCGCACTCTAGGAAAGGGTCATTCATGGACTAGGCGACTTCAGTGAGTTTAGGAGCATACACAAGGGTCTCTGGGTGCCCTGGGGATGGAGGAGTAATTATGCTAGCTATTTTTATTGATTACTTCCTGTGACCAGTGACCAGCGTTCTAAGCACTTTACATACATGGCTCGCTTAATTCTCACAACCCTAAGAAGAGGAAACATTCTCCCATTTGATGAAATAAGGAAACGAAGACACAGGGAAGTCACGGGGGAGGGGCCAGGGAGCAGCGCCTTAAAAAGCCAATTGGCAATGAAAGACGCCAGACCCAGAGGGTCACCTATTGTTTGATACTATTGATAAGAAATGTCCAGAATAGGCAAATCGAGACAGAAAGTAGATTAGTGGTTGCCAGGGGCTGGGGGAGCGGAATGGGGAGTGGCTGCCTAATGGGTGTGAGGTACCCATTGGGGGTGATGATAATGTTTTGAACTAGATAGAGGTGACAGTTGCGCAACATTGCGAATGTACTACACGCCACACTGATGTGCGCACTTCAAAACAGTGAATTTGATATTATGTGAATTTCACCTTAATTACAAATCAAAGGGTGAGATAGGAATACCCTGGGCTCAGGCCCTGATGTGCCCAGCCCTAAGCATATGGGTCTCAGTGGCCCTGCTGGGAGGAAAGTACTGTTCCCATTTCACAGATGGAGACGCCAAGGCTCCAGGCTTTCAAGTCAGCATCCTGGACAGGAAGGAGGAAGCCGGGCGTCAGTTCTGAAGCCAGGCCCCTTCTCCCCAGTCACTCAGTCTCCACACATGGCCAGCCTGGAAGGTGGGGTTCCTTTTCCACTGGAGTTGATTCCACCTGTAGGCATCAGAAACCCTGGCGACCCCACTTTGCTTAACAGAAATCATTGGCAAAGCTGAACATCTTTCGAAAGGTAGGGCCCAGGATTAAAATGTTTGCTTCTTAGGCTGTAAAGGGAGAGGAAGACATACTCCAAGAGGCACATACTTGGGTTGATGAGGCCCTTGTCCCTACACGCTGTGCTGAGGTTGTGGGAAATACCCCTGAGCAGTTCCCATGGGGATGGCCCTGCTGGAAGGGTCTTGCGTGGGCCGTGGCTTGTAGACCTGAATGTTGTCTCCAAGCTCCTGGTTCAGCTTTCCAGAGTCTAATTTCCTTGGGGAAACTGAGGCTAAAGGCTAGAGCTCAAGGTTTCCCTACCTGGACTCTAGTATTTCTCCCTTGGATCTACTTTGTTCATTCCTAAGACGAGCACTTTTGTGCCTGGGTGAGAAGTTTTTGTGCCTGGCATTGATGCATTGATCTGTAGCTCTCGGAGTGCCTGTGCTCTGAGACACAGAGCAGAGAGAGCTGGGAGGGCCACTCGAACAAAATCTTCTATACCCGTGGTCTCCAAGCTTCTGTGGGTCTCAGCCCCTGGCAGGACCCTGAAGGACCATGAGGATACAGCAGAGAGGTCTGCATCGGTGCAACTCTGCATGGATGCAACGCTGCACGTAACGCTGGGACCCCAGAAACCTTCAGAGCAATGTTATCTGATTCATCTATGGGTGTTCAAAGATGCCTATTCTCAGGCCCATCCTACTGCATATCAAGCTTACCAGGATTTTGCTTCCCCCCCACCCCCCCGCCCAGGTTCCCCCGGGTGATTCAGATGCAGGGAGCATCTGTGAACTTCAGGGTGAAATCCCCAATTAGGTCCTGGTACTCACATGCATTTGTAAGACACATCCTTGGGGGCAGCTCAAAGGTTCACCTCCAAACGCCACCAGGAAAGGGAGCTGGAGGAGACCTTTGCCTCTCCTGCCTATAAAGCAGACCCAGTAGAGGCTGCGATTGGGGTGGGGTGGGAACACAACCCTGCACAAGGTCAGTGCCACCTCTGTCTAGCTGGCTGCCTCAGCCTGAGCTTTCCCACGGAGCATATTCCTCTACCTAGGAAAATCATTATCAGCCCGGCAGCAACAACAGCAGCTGTTCTCTGGCCCAGGAAGAAAGGTTCCAGAGAAGAGTTCGTTTTCTCTTTTCTTACCAGAAAAAAAAAAAAAAAAATCAGAACCCAGGAGAGAACACCACGGTCTGAGTGCACCAGGGAGATGGTCAGCCCGAGTCCTGCCTGCCAGCAGCTGAATCCTGAGAAACCCGAGGAGAGCCATGAGCGGCTTCCTCTGCGTTTGCTGGGCCAGGACATCATTTGTTGACTCTAGAGCCCAGTCCCTAGCTCACGATTTCCTCCCTGGTTGCCATGGCCCCGTACAGAAAACACAGCAAACTCCTGGCCCTGGGCAGCTCATTTATTTCAAATATTCCTTGCAGCTGGAATCCAACCATGTTTGGGTGTCTGGACTGGAGCATGAACTAATTGCTCTGTCTTCGGCCCCCTCCCCAGCTCCCCCGGCATAGTTTATGGTTCAGTAAATTCCACATTCCTCATCTCGTTGAGGAGTGGAGAAGGCGGGAGGGAAGCTGCGTGCTGAAGGGTGGGGACGGGAGGACTCTTCCCATCTATGGCCAAGCCCTGAGAGTCTGCTACCTGCTTGAAGGCAGGGGATTAATTACAACCACATGGGCCAAGTCTGCACAGATGGTTTTATTAATCCCACTCCCTTCGGCACAAAACGCTGCTCCCCGAGAAGTCTCCTGGCAGCACAAGGGCCCTGATTTTCCCTGTGCCTCCCCCGCCCCCAGTGCCTGACCCCAACCCCACTCCTCCCCTGCCGCCCCCTTCAAAGGAAGCGGAGTTCCAACTGCAACCCAGACATGAACTCCAACCTGAAAATCATTTTAGACCACCCTTTCCTCCAACCGCATCTGGGAAACGCATCTAGGGGTCCCTCTTCCCAATACCTACCTTGACCTTTGGAGACTTTACCTGGGAAGAAAGATCATTATCAGGAAGTTGGTTTAGGAATGTCTGGTCCATTCTTTTTTTGGAGGGGACAGAGTCTCACTGTGTCGCCCAGGCTGGAGTGCAGTGGTGTGATCTCGGCTCGGTTCATGCCATTTTCCTGCCTTAGCCTCCTGAGCAGCTGGGACTACAGGCACGCACCACCATGCCTAGCTAATTTTTGTATTTTTAGTAGAGACGGGGTCTCACCATGTTGGCCAGGATGGTCTCCATCTCTTGACCTCATGATCCGCCCGCCTTGGCCTCCCAAAAGTGCTGGGATTACAGGCATGAGCCACCATGCCCAAACATCTGGTCCATTCTTAAAGACAAAGTCGCAACCCAGAAACTGTCATTTTCCAGAAATGCAGGAGCTTTTAAAGCATTCGTTTGCACACTTGCTAAGACACCAGGTCCTGTTCAGAGAGCCTCATCTTACCCTTGCTATCTTCCTGTGAGACAGGTACTACACTATAGTGCTACAACACTACAGTGACTGCTGTTTTCCAGAGGCTCATCCAAGGCCACAAAGCCAGTTATTTGAATCCAGGTCTGACTCAGGAGCGCATACGCTCCTCATTGGGCCAACCCACCGACACCATGGAATAATTTCCCTCTACCCAGCAACTTTGCAAAGAAGCTGACACTGTCACAAATAGTGGTGTCCAAACTCTCTTAGGCACGGTCACCTAGGGAGTTCAGGAAATGCATATTCCTGGGCCTGGCCCTAGAAGTGTTGACTTGGTACATCTCAGGTGGGACCCTGGAATCTGCATTTTCTCAACCCCCTCCCAGATGCTGCTGATGTGTGTGGTCTGAAGACAGCTGGTCAGGAGGCTGTTAGAGAAAGGAACATGGGTCTTTGGGCCCAGGAATCTTAGGCCCTCAGGTCAGGCACTTTTCACGGCACTATCAGGACCCAGCACGCCTTGAGAATGAAGCGTCCCCACCGCAAGCTGAATGTGCTCTTGCTAATTCTTTGGAAACTAGCCGTGACATGGGATCACATCTTAGTAAATTTCTTGACTGTCATTTTATCATCCATTGATCCCCTAAATAAGCCAGAGTTTCCTGTCCTTTCTGTTGGGGGCTCTGCCCACGTGGCTAGCAAAACAAGTTCACTCTGCAACTGTTCAGCAAACCTCACCGTGCACTCGGCCTCAGGGGACACAAAGATGAATGAAGGACCTGCTCCTTCCCCTAGACCCTAGACTCTGAGGACGCCCACAATGGCTCACACTCTGCTCCTAAAAAGCCCAGAGTCAACTCAAGTTCTACAGCCCCACAAACCAACCTGCTGTGCCCACGAAGGCACAGAATCACTTTCTGTTAGGCTCAGCAAGTTTCCGCAGCTTGGGCTGCCAGGCTGAGGAACTTCTGAAATGGGGATGAGGCTGTTCTGGGGTCCTCCCTCCAGGACTCTCCTCCTCCTTCTCTGGGGCTTCACCTGGCATCTCACCCTCTGCCAAGGGGTGGTAGGGAGTCGGCCCATCATCTGCTGAAAACTGTGGGCCGTGGAGCTGGCTGGACCCAGGAGGGGTCAGCCGTGTCTCTTCCCCTCCCCCGAGGCACAAACAAGGAACTCAAAAATGGTTTGATATTTTAACAAACGTTCCTTTATTAGGTTACTGACTATTATCAACCATCATAAAATAGAACGGGAGTTTCAAAACTGTACAAGCCACAAGGCTCTGGGCTGGGAGGAAAGAAGGGTGGGGTCAAGGGTCCCAGGGCGTCAGGGGGTGGGAGATGCAGAGAGAGCTAGAGGGTCACCCAGCATCCGTGGGGACGGCTGAGTCAAGGCCATAAGCTGGTATCTGTACAAGGGAAACATTCACCAGAATGTGACCCACCTGAAACAGGAGGGAGGAAAATCTTTGCAAGTCTTACAGATAAGGTCCCCTGCCCCGGAAAAAAAACCAAAAACCTCAAAATAATAAGGGGGTAATGTACATTTCTCACCCAGTCTTGGCACCAATTTTGTGCTTTAAAAAATATACTCCACTGGAAGATTTACTTAAAAAAAGGTACTCTACAGCAGCTGTTTAAAACATAATTCTTACAGACAAATATATATATATATGTATGTATATATATTAAACATTTTAAACAAATAAAGTCATCTATTGTACCTGTGCAGAAATGAACCAAAGTTAGACTCTTAAGAGAGTTAACTTCAAGCTCAAAGAAATGGCAAAGGCGGTGGCAGGTGCTGGGGTATGCAACGTGGAGGGGTTGCCAGGGACAGAGCACCCCTCTCTTGCTGGCAGCCGAGCCACCCCTCTTGAGGCTCTGAGAGGGGTTGGGATGAACTGGGGCTGTTTCCCTGGGCCCGGAGCCCCAGCTGGGGTGCTGAGCAGAGACCCGCGCTGGCTTCTGTGAGGCTTGACTCTGCCCCTAGCTTCTCAGGGAATGGAGACCCACTCGCCCTCCCTTCTTAGTTCCGGGGGTCCTCTGGCACACCCAGAGCTTCTGAGGATGTACTTGGGAAAACTCAGCTAGAAAAGCAAAAGCAAAATCAAACTCACACCAAAAGACCCACAGAAGACTAAAGAAATGCAACCATGTGCAAGGATGCCTGAGTCCAAGAGTTAACTGGCTACCTGGAGACCCAGGGGAATTGCTGCAGCCCCTCCAGATGGGCCCCCGAAGACACCCAGACTGCACGTGAGGCTCTTCCTCCCTGAAGGGCCCGCTAGGGAACTTGGAGCAGAGCTCTCTGGAAACTGCAGGGCAAGGGACCCAAAGACACACTTGTGCCTGGGCACGTGTGCACATGTGCCCAGGGAGGGCGGGCAAGGCATACACATCGCAGGGAGGGCACAGGTGGGGGGAAAGTAACAGAACAGCCAGAGAGAGGGGACTGAAACAAGGTTGCCTTTCTAGATGGAATAAATAAATGGCTTTTGTTATTGTTAAAAGAATAAATATAGGGTATGGGGCACCAACAGCCGGGAGGGATGCTGGGTGCTTATTTGCCTGCGGACGGTCCTTGATTTCTGCTTTGGTGTCCATGGTGAGTTTCTGACGTCCTGAGCTTTATCTGTCATGGCATGGCCCTACTGGGCTGGGCACCCATGGCGGGGCACCAGCCCTTGTCTAAGCACCTCTTAGTACCCCTGGTATCTGCTCTCAGAGCTGTGGCACCACCTGCCACCCCCACCACCCTGGGACCCCAGGTGGCTGCAGCCTTCTCCCAGAGATGTGGGGAGCACCCGTCCCACCCCGAGAGCAGATTGGAGCTCAACGTAGGGCTTTCGTAGGAGTTTTATTCTCCGTGTCTTTTCTCAAAGAGGGGTTGTATATGGACGGCATGCAGGGACGCTGCCTTCTGCTGATGTCGGGAAGGGGGAAAGAGGAGCCTGTGTTGGAATCGGTCCTTGTCCCATGGAGGCAGCCACGGAGGATGAGGGAAGACCAGGGACCTCTGTCCATGGCTGTGGATGCCGGTCCAAGGCGCAGGGTATGGCGGCCCCAGCGGCGGGTGGCTCAGTGAGGTGGCACCAGGTGGCTGTCGTGCTGGCGGTCCGATGGCGAACATCACTGGTAGAGGAGGTAGGCCTTGAGGGAAGCCGGCAGCGGCAGCGTGTGGATCTCCCCCAGGCGCTCCTTCCCCAGGGCCAGGCGCACCGAGCGGCGGCACAAATCCATGAGCGGCAGCGGCTCGGCTAGGGAGACAGAGAAACTGCAGGTCAGCGCAGCTTGGGTGGGTGTTCAGCAAACAACGCTAACCATGGCAGCAATATTATCACTGATTAGTATTCATTCAAATCAGTAAAGAAACAATTAAAAATGCAATGCTTTGATTTTCATTTTAAATTTAGCATGTGAATAGCTACCAACAGGAGCCCACCCTGGGCTGGGCACCTGGGCAAGCCCTCTGCTAACACTCATTTAATCCTCCCAGTGGTTTCTTATGAATGGCTTAATAGTCACAGACACCATTATCTTCATCCCCATTTTGCAGATGAGGAAACTGAGGGACAGAGTCTAAATGACTTGCCAGGGGTCGCCCTGCTGGCAGGAGATGGAGCTAGGTTTCGAACCCAGGCCATCCCTGCTCTTCCCCACTGGTGACTCTGCCTGTCCAGGCCAGCAGCTGCCGTTGGAGCCTGTGGGTCGGAGCACATGGGAGCCAGCTCTTCCCGGCATGCAGCCCCAGCACTGGACCCCACGCAGGCTTCAGGAAGGGAATCATTTTCTGTTACCAGCTGCTCTCAGATACCGTTCTCACCTCTATTTTAAAGCTGAAGACCAGCTGGGCATGGTAGCTCATGCCTGCAATCCCAGCACTTTGGGAGGCCGAGGTGGGTGGATCACTTGAGGCCAGGAGTTCGAGACCAGCCTGGCCAATATGGTGAAGCCCCGTCTCTACTGAAAATACAAAAATGAGCTGGGCGTGGTGGCAGGCGCCTGTAACCCCAGCTACTCAGGAGGCTGAGACAGGAGAATCGCTTGAACCTGGAGGCGGAGGTTGCAGTGGGCTGAGATCGCACCACTGCACTCTAAACTGGGTGACAGAGCGAGACTCTGTCCAAAAAAAGAAAAAAGAACTGAGGACACACAGGCACAGAGAGGACACCCAGTGTGCCAAGGGTTAAGAGCTGGGATCTGAATCCAGGCAGCCTGGGCCCAGTGTCCATGCCCTTAAACACTAACCGTGCTGCCAATGAAGACGTGGCAAACCCTGTGCTGAATCACACGTGACAGGCCTGGCTGGCCCCATGGACTGAAGGCGTCATTTCTGTGCCACACGGAGCCAGAGAAACCCCGGGTGTCTGTGTTTCTGTCTGACAGTGAGGCCGAGGGTCCAGGCCAAGCTCAGGCCTCAGGAAACTGGAAATGCCAGCCCAGCTTCAGCTGATCCCCCAGAGCTGCCTCGGCCTTCTCCCCACAACTGCCCCGGGCACATGGGGCCCTCTCACAGCCAGGGGAACTTGGGCAGAGCTGCCTCAAGCCCCAGGGTTACAGAGCGCTTGCAGCTGCAGCCTCCGGGGCACCTCCGTCCTGCGTTCCCAGAGCGCCCAGCCGTGCCTTCCTACAAAGGAGGCTGTGTTCATTCAGCTGCACCTCAGATGAGCCGTCAGCTTCAGATCTCGGGAGTCTGAAACTCATGCCTTCCAAGGTTCCTGAGCTTGCAAGCCTGCGCGGCCCTGCTCACCGGCTTCGTCACAGCAGACTCCTCTCTGCTCTCTTTCCTGAAACCAGGTACGAGTAAGCACACCTGGACCTTCACGGGACCGCCCATGCTGTTCCGCAGATGGAAAGCCCTGAAACCAACGGATCTGAGGCTTCATCCATGGTCTCCCCTTGACTTTGAGACTCCTTTGTGAGCAAAATAAAGTCAGCCCCCAAAACTAAAAGAACCCACAAAACTCCATCCTACCAGTAAAAAGTGGATTAAAGTTCTTCAATATTCACCAATGTGTCTCAAAAATATGAAAATCAATTACTGAAGACCGAACACTATGGGTGGGGCATGGCAGAATGGAGAGAGGCTGCTTATGGGCACAGGCTTTCTTTCTGGGGTGATGAAAATGTTCTAAAATTGTTTCCCAGGTCTCACCACACGAGAGGCCACTGAACTGGATACTTTAATGGGTGAATTGTACGGTATGTGATTTATAGCTCAGTAAAGCTGTTACAAAATAAAAGAATGAAGCTTAGGCTTGATAATGCATTTACTAAACCCCAAGCTTTAAAAGAAGAGGGACCAGGTCAGGCACAGCGGCTCAGACCTGTAATCCCAGCACTTTGGGAGGCGAAGGACGGAAGACTGCTTGAGCCCAGGAGTTTGAGACCAGCCTGAACAACATAGGGAGACCTCATCGTTACAGAAAATAAAAATTAGCCAGGACTTGGGAGACTGAGGCGAGAGGATCAATTGAGCCCAGAAGGTCAAGGCTGCAGTAAGCTGTGATCGCGCCACTGTATTCCAGCCTCGGCAACAGAGACCTTGTCTCAAAAATGAAAAGAGGCCAGGTGTGGTCGCTCACACCTGTAATCCCAGAACTTTGGGAGGCCAAGGTGAGCGGATTACCTGAGGTCAGGAGTTTGAGACCAGCCTGGCCAACATAGTGAAACCTCGTCTCTACTAAAATTAGTATATAAAAATAGGCGAGGCGTGGTGGCCTGGGCCTGTAATCCCAGCTACTCGGGAGGCTGAGGCAGGAGAATCGCTTGAACCTGGGAGGTGGAGGTTGCAGTGACCCGAGATCACACCACTGCACTCCAGTCTGGGTGACAGAGCAAGACTCCGTCTCAGAAAAACCAACACCACCACCACCACCACCAACACGAACAAAAATCCAAACTGAAAAAATAAACAAACAAACAAAAGAAGAGGGACCACTGCTCTTCATCCTCCATGGACGGTCACAGCCACAGCTGCTGACAAGGAACTGAAACGTTCAGTGTTTTTAATGGAGAATTTTGAAAGGGGCCTTTCGTGGCCAGCTTAGGATGATTAAGAGGAGCTCTGCTTGGAGATGAAAGGAGGAACGAAATAACCTCAGGTCCTTTAAGGTCCAGGAGCCCACAGATCCCTTGTGGATGGGGCGGGACTGGGTTCCCCCACCCAGCGGTTCACAGGGTTGGGTTTCTCTCGGGTGAAGCACCAGCCTGGTGACTCCAGACCCTGACCTGGAGCAGATCCCTCCGTCTGCCTGGACTTGTTTCCTCATCTGTAAGACATGGAATCCAGACCAGATTCTCCCCAAAGCCCCATGCAGCCAAGATTCTGAAGGCCAGAAGTGCTTATCACAGCCCTCAGCCTGGCCTGGCTTGGCGGTCGGGAGTGCGTCTTCCCATAGAGAAGTGGGGAATTTGGAGGTGCGTTCTCTTCTCTGCTTGGGAGCACGCCTGCATCTGGCCTTCATCGGGGCCAAGGGGCCTGGGCTGCCCTGAGCTCCCTCCTGGGAGGATGTGGCTCACCCCCACTGGAAGGTGGAGGGGTTCTCCGTGGTGGCTGGAAGGCACCTGAGAAAGCTTCAAGAGTCACTGAATGTGGCCCAAGAGCTCTGCCAGGCTGCAGCAGTGAGGGCTGAAAGGGAGTTCTGTCGCTACCCTCTTGGTGTAATGGGTTTCGAATCAACCTATTTAAATGAACGAGCACCTAAGCTTCCCAGGGAAGGGCATAGCAGCCAGAGGCCCCAGGCCACAGGACAGGTGCCCACCCCCTCGGTGTTTCTAGGACGGGTGCGGTGGCTCATGCCTGTAATCCCAGCACTTTGGGAGGCCGAGGTGGGCAATCACCTAAGGTCAGGAGTTTGAGACCAGCCTGGCCAACGTGGCAAAACCTCATCTCTACTAAAAATACAAAAATTAGCCGGGTATGGTGGTACAAGGCTGTAGTCCCAGCTACTTGGGAGTTTGAGGTAGGAGGATTGCTTGAACCTGGGAGGCGCAGGTTGCAGTGAGCTGAGATCGCGCCACTGCACTACAGCCTGGGCGACAGAATGAGACTCCATCTCCAAAAAAAGAAAAGAAAAAAAAAAGTTTCTAAACTGCAGAGGCCCCTGAGCCCCCAGCTCCATCCAGCACCTTGAGTGGCTGACACTGCAGCCCCAGCCCCAGTCATGGCCTGTGGGATACCAGTCGTGTGCCTGGTGGGGACTGTGACCCCAACCTACAGATGGGGAAATGGGCTTGGAGAGGTGAGAGTTAGGGGTCCACGGTCTGAGAGCCATGGTCTCCAAAGGGATGAGGCCCTCCAGCTGGCGCAATCCATCCCCTGTGAATGCAGCTGTGTGGGGTGGAGGACTTGCCACAGCCTGGCCATCTCTGGATCCTACTGAATAAACCAGTTAGGGACGGGTCATGGGATCCACCAAGATGGGCTACAGAAGCGACAGTGAATGGCTGCAGTGATGCGTTATGAGCTGAAAATAGGACCAGAGTCACCCAGGCATCCTGTGAATGGGTCTATTCTCTGGGGCCTCAAGTACATAAACAGGTCACGCCTCCTTGATCTTGCAGGAGGAAACTGATGGCGCATAGGGCCCGGTCTGACTGCTTTCCAAAGGCTGGGCAGAGACCAAGAATGCACGGCCACAGAAACAGACGTGGGCTTCGTGCCGTGAAAAAATGCCCAGCCCCCATTCCAGCTGGTCACTACCAGGACCAGGAAGTTCTCCCCAACCTCCACACTCTTGACTGGGGGCTGCCAGCTTTGCACCCAGCTCCAGCCACAAACCCAGGTGCCTGCTGAAATCCACCGAGCGGGTGGGCACCTGTCCTGTGGCCTGGGGCCTCTGGCTGCTATGCCCATCCCCAGGAAGCTTAGGAGCTCATTCATTTAAATAGTTTCTTTGAATGAGAGAGTGCAATGCTGAAAGAGCAGCAAAGAAATCAGGAAGTCAATCAGGAGCTATTTCTGGGAGCAGAAGGCTGAGGAACTGGAAGAGACGGTGCACCAGCTTCCACATTTCTGTGAGAAACGGCTACCTGGTGGCCAACGTGAACATGCACAGCCCCAGAGCCCACGACTGTCTCGCCGTTCCCTGAGAGATTTCAACCCAATTCAAGCATCAAGAGGGTGGCGCTGTGCCCAGTTCATGGGCTGAATGAATGAGCTGCGGAACGGTGAGGTCAAAGAAAAACGCTCCGTATCAGAGAATGCCCCGGCTTCTGCATTGTCCTCACTGACAGCTGTCATGGCTCCTGGGGC